GATGTAGAGAACTGAAGAGACTGATGTCATTCAAGTAGGCATTACTGTTGCAATACCATAGTGCTACTTAAATAGCCTTTAAAAATGAACAAGTTAACTTTATACCTTGTTAATGGTAGGTAATTTCTAGCCCCTAAAATCCGCTTTCTTATCAAGTGTTTTTTATCAGCATAAATACAGATCTTATTAACAGGAAACTTCAACTCACATATGGTTTTGAGAGCGATGCAAACACTTTTATTGAAACCACATTAACTCTAACCACAGTAAGACTTCTTAATCACAGAGTCAATGTATCCATTCCCTCCTATTCTTGACTCACCAGCACTAGAAAAACCAGTTTGTGTTCAGTTTATACTCACTGCAGGTTACAAGAGCAAATTCCTACATGTGGAAAAACAATTTCAGCACAGGTAAAAGAAAAGGACCTAGGGAATGCAAATTAAAAAGATGCTTCAAGCTTGTGATTCCAAAAAGAACTGAATACTGGCATTGTCTTACGAGAGCCTGGAATACTTCAACTTATTTTATCCTAAAGAAATATGGCCTCTAGATTTATCTTAAAACTAAGCCCTAAAGCTCTTTATTAAATGAATGCCTGGGCATGCTGCATTATCATCTCAGTATAACTCTAAATGCAACAAAGTCAAATTTGGCAATTCATCACTTACAGAATGGTTATACACACAAACACTGCGTGAATACAGCAGTGATTTACAACACACAGCTGGTCTTCAAGGAGCTTACAGTCAAGTGGGAGACTGGAACATGTACACAAATGACTAGAGCCTCTCTCAACTGTTACTCGTCTGAATCACACAAGACAGAAACTGACTTCAACACTATTTTCTCAATTCTTTTAAGGACAGTACATAACTAATACATTCTAGATGCATACGATGGATGGCTTAGGGTGTAACAGGAGGAAAGAATAAAAAGGTAAATGTATGGAGGTAGGGAAGCCCCCGTGTCATACTCCCAACTTTGTGTTCTTTGCTGTGGATCACTGAGAGCCCTCAAACAGTTTTAAAAACAGAAGCAACATAATCAGACATGTAAAATGCCATTCTACGGTAAGAGTATATAGATGGAGAGAGAGAGAAGACCAGCTATGAGATTACAGAAATAATCTCAGCCTCAGATGTAACAATGTCCCGAACTACAACGGGATCAAGAAGGATGAAAAGGTGAATGAACAGGACTTGGTAAATGACAGGTCCAAAAAAAGTAGTAGTTGTCTCCCAGGCTTTCATCCAGGGTGATGGGGAAGACAGTGTTAGAAACATAACAGTTATAGGTTATAATGTTAGAAACCTAACAGTTAGAAACATATGGTAGAAACATAATAGTTATAGGTTATAAAGAAAGAAGAATGGCTTCAATTTAAAAAAAAAAAAAACAGCAAAATTACTTTTTCCATTCCTCTTACTATGCTAGATTTGAGAATTAATATTTTTTACTGGTTACCAAGAGCCATAAGACCAGATTTTAAAGCATGTATATCCTTAGATCATTTCTTCACAATAAAATACTAACACCAGAAGAAATTCTAACTTGGTGTCTTAGAAATAAAGAATCCCATAATTTTTCTGTCAGAACCAGCTTAGTAAGAAGATATTATGTGGATATCTCTTGTCTTCCAGGATGCCACAGACTGATCTTTTACCCACCAATGAGAATAAAAGACTGAGATCAGACCAACGAATGGTCACAGTATACATAACTTCAGCTTGTTCTGCGAGATCCACTATTAAATTCTCTTCAAGTATAGTGCTTATTGTAGTAATGACTTGTCAATAAGATATTACATGATAAGACTAATGTCATAAAACAGACCAGTTAATTCACAAACCAGCCTTTAGCCAAAGCTTTAAGGAAAAGTTTCCCTAAGAAAAGGAATGAAAAATTTCATGTCACTGTCTAAGTGTTTGAAGATATGGAGGAAAAATGTTTCAGAAATCCACAACAATATAAGATCTTTTCCTAACTAGTCTTGGGAATTAAGCCTTGGACATGGGGACATGAATATGGAGTAAAATACAGAAATCACCTTAAGACTTCAAATGTATGTGTCCCTTACTTATTACTCCTGTCCCTCGTAAAAGTCTTGAATAACTAGTAGGCATTGGCACTATAAACTCAGCGGCACAGGAATCCTTACCTACAACCCAATCATGCTGATAAACCTTATTCTAAAATGTGCTAAAAAATTTTGTTAATGGAAAACACGTGAATATTCCCTTGGATATATCCATGACTTTTCTTTTTTGTCCTATGTGAGAGACAGTGTGATATTACTGCTCATTTTAGTAGTCAAACTTTTCAATATCCAAAGTAGGAAAATAAATTAGCCTACAGAATGATTCTGAAATGGCAGGAATGTTTACTGAATTATCTAAAACACCAGAGACACCGGCTTTCTGGGGAAAAAAAAAAAAGAGGCAGAACAGGATAAGCAGCAAGAAAAGCAAAGCTTTAGTTCAGATTCCAGCTCTGACACTTGTAAGCTTTGCTATGTCTCAATTTCTTTATCTATAAAATGGAAATTAAAACTACATAAACAACCCTGTGAGGTAAAGTGAAATCAGTGCTTTTCACACCTGGCTGGTCACCACAATCACCCTGAAAACTTATTAGAAACATAGTATCTCAGGCCCCACTCCATACTTACAGGGCTGTGGCCCAGGAGTCCGTATTATTTAATAAATTCCAAAGATGAGCCTTATATACTGGTCACACATTAGAAATCATGGGAAAAAATTATGTATTTTATGTTTTTACATATTCTTATATAAAACTTATGTATGTATACATATGTGCAACTTACCAGTACCCTAGTACACTGTAAGTGTTCAAATAAATGCTTGCTGTTATTATCAATTATTTTGAAATTGGAGATAAAACTGGGCATTTTGTAATAAGATGGGCACTAAGCAGTTGCAGAACTACTTTGTATAAACCTCTCACCAAAAATTAGACTTAGAGCATGACACTATACTATTTGAGACACAGTGAGAGATGACATAAATGAAGTTCCAAACTGATGACAACCCCTCTTCTACAACACAGTTTATGACAGGAAAAAAAGCATAGTTAGGCATGTTTTATATTTTTCCTAAAAAAGCTTGACCATTCCAGATCATTCCATCACAAAACCTTAAATCTAGTTCTCATTTTTCAGTAATTCATACAATGTATGCAAATTTACCACAGAGCAATTCAAGTGCTAAATAAATGTGTACAATGACTTTAACATGGCAACAAATATCTAAAATCCACAGAAATGGACTGTATCTTTCCATTTTAAAAGTCTAAATGCTTGAATTAATTAGCATTTCTAAATAAAGTAGCCTTGTATATAGGATACTGAGCCCTCTAAAAAAAGTCTAACCATACCTTTGTACCAATATTCTATGAATATTATCTATGTTATATTATCTATATTCTATTCTTATATATCTATAAGAATGCATTATTTTTAAAGTTCTATTAAAAAAACAACAAATTTGTTTTTAAATTTAGTTTCCAGTTTTTTTCTTTCATAACACAAATCTAGGGTAAATTCAGACACTAAGTACTAAACACTCTCTCTTCTAAATATAGAAATAAAATAAAAAATAGTTACCACCTAAAGAAGATAAAGTGGATCCTATGGCCATTTGGAATAAGCTACATATATTTATTAGGCACTAAAATTTTTATTTTTATAATACTTTCAGAGATAATTTTTAATAAATCCACAACTTAGTTACTAATGTTTAAAAGTTAAAATATTTCAGCTGCACAAAACAGTGTTTACCTAATTTACCAAATAAGGTATTTTACCTTTGGGTTTATTTCTCCATATACACATCTTACAAAGATTATGTGGATCAATAATCTAATGCTAACAGATTGCTGCAAGTACTGAGAAAGAAGTATGTTATGTAAATAAAGCTTACAGGGAAGAAGTTGTTTTGGTCATTAAATTATAGGACTTTACCATTCTTCTATCACGTTTTAACCATTAATCCTAGTGGTATTAGAGAAACAAAGTTAAACCAAGAGATCCAGAAGGCCAAGGTAATCTGATCTTAAGAGTTAAAAGGAACACAGTAAAAACTAGAGTTTAAAGATGTCTCACACAAGTAGAACTATAGTTTTCACCTTTCCGCAGCCTGCAGAATATTAACTACTTATATTAAAAGAGCTTGTAAACCACTGTACCAGTGCCAACTGTCTACATAATAGAGAATGAGGAAAATTTCATGAATTTAATCTGATTACCCACCACATCTACAGTTTCAGGTATATTCAGGGTCAGGAGAGGGAGAATCAAGGGCATTAAAAAAGTTTTTGGTCTTTAAAAAAAAAAAAGCTTTTAGCCTTCAGTACACACTTGATATGCTGCAAAAAACAAAATAAAACAAAAAACCCAAACTAACAAAACAAAAACAACACTTGGAACTACCAATAATAAATGAAGAGAAGCACTGCTCATCTGCTCCTCTTCCAAAAAACATTTTTTTGGATATACCTTCTTGATGCCTTTGTGAAACCTCTCTTTTCCACACTTTCCTGATTACCTTACTAAATCAAATCCCTCCCTATGGTTAAAAGGATATTTTGGCAAGTAGACTTGAAAAAGGCACAAAAATTTAGGAATGGGAGAAAGAACAGGAGGGAAAGAATGGGTTATGGTATCACTTCTCCACCATCAATTACTTCTCAAGAAACAAAGCAAGGTGAATCTCACACTTGAAAGCCCTACAATGACAGTAAAACTGTCCAAAGAACAGAATACCCCTTGTTCTACTTTACCTTAACTCCTAAGTGAGAAAAGTTTAGGACATAGCAAGTCAATAAAGTTCGGAAAATTAGCCATAGCTGCCATAACAATAAACATTCAAAAAGTAACACCAAAAGAAAATGATTTATAGCAACCCAATGGGTTTCACCACAGTAATATTTCTTTAAAATATACAACTTAAAACAGCACAAAGTACAAGACAATAACTTACTTGAGTTGGAACAAGTACAGGAGGGTAGGCCATCTTATGATGCCTATACACCCAAAATGCACAAACAACAATACCCGCAATCAACATAAGTGGCACCAAGGAATAGAGCAATATGTTGTAATAGGGTGGCTTAGGTGTAACTGGGTTCGAAGTTGCTGTGGAAAATGGAAGGAAAAAAACAATTCAGATTTGGTCTACAAAATTCCACAATAAATATTTCTTATAGTATCAAATTTTAGGAGAAAAATAAGAGTGGGAGAAGGTAGGAGTAAATTATTCCATCAACACAAATATGCTTTGTTTTCAGGGTACTACTCCAACAGACCTATGTATTTTCCCTGTGAACTTACGCTGTGTGACTTCCATCTCCGGAAAATAAGAAAACCTTTCGTTACACATATTGCCCTCACAGCAACAAAAATACACTTCAGGGCTGTCTTTTTTTTCTATACAATCAGTCCTATAAACAAACAAAGGAGAAATAATTAAAGTCAACATTAAACTGAATCTACGATGGGTGTTTTTCTAAAATTCTTCTGAGATAAAATAATGAAAAAGTCATTCATAGTCAACTTCAAGATTCTTATTAATATCCAATGATCAATTCTTAAAAGCCAAAAACATTCCAGTAATCCTGTTACTAAATCTCATCAAAACAAAAACAAAACAGCTGCTTTTATAGCAATCACACTAGCTCCATGAGAACATTGCTTAAATTTGGTTTTTAATGATTAATCTAAGGCAACCATCTTTTTTTTTTTTTTTAATTATTAGAAAAGCTTGAAAAGAAACATAAAGCCAATGAAGAAATTTGGTTTAGGAGTGCTTTCTCTTACAGGAAATACAGCTTTCCCATTGCGTAAGTACAAAAACTGAACACTATAAATAGAACTAGGTGTGTACACACCAATACATCCATACACACACACAAATACACATACACAAAATAATGCAAGTTCCTCTCATGGCAGAATCTATCTCAACATCAGAGACCCAAGCTTAATTCCCAAGCTAGGTTTGGGAATTAAGAGTGTCATTTTTTGGAGTAGATTTAAATTCCCTAAGCAAAATGAACAGGGTTGAGATAACCCCAAACAAATAGAGAACAATATGTAACAACGTACAGAACCTAGTAACTCAATAACTGGTATGAGTTAGGTTGACTGAGGAGCTGAGGAGACAGGGATTTTAGCTGCTAGAACAAACCCTAATTAGCTGCTAAGAAACTGCTATACCTGTTTAAAAAAAAAAAAAATCAAAACTTCAAATATTGCTAATAAACATGAGGTGAATTTAAAGACATATCTTAGAAATAAACTGCAAACTTCTGTGATGGCTGTTAGAATAATAAGGTTGAATTTAAAATGGAAAGCTTAAGGGCGCCTGGGTGGCTCAATTGGTTGGGCGACTGCCTTTGGCTTGGGTTATGATCCTGCAGTCCTGGGATCATCCCTGCTCCTCCCTCTGACCCTCCCCCCTCTCATGCTCTCTCTCTCTCAAATAAACAAATAAATCTTAAAAAAATAAATAAATAAAATAAAATGGAAAGCTTAAGAAATTTCAGGAAGAAAACTGTTTTGACAAAATCAAACATTAAAATTAAATCTACACCAATACCTATTTAGTAGAAAGTAAAAGACAACTGAAAGCTAAATCTTAAGTTATAAAAAATATATGAATTTAAAATTTTTAGAATCATGCCTCAAATTATAGAAGGTGAAAATGACTAAGTAGCCTAATTAACTCAAAAAAGTACTTTTCATTACCCAATTTCATTCTTCTTTTTATCATTGTCTTTTCCTCCATACTTTGACATTTCTTGAATCCTCTTTTTTTTCTCTTAACTATCCTTCAGGAGAGACAAACAGTAGTTTTTGCCACAAAAAGAACAAGAATCTCTGGTTTCAACTAACTAATAAAAGATAATTTGAGTAAAGATTTTCTCCCAAAACTCTTCCTGTGTGTTGTTTTTTTTTTAATAAAACTGACAACACTACATTAGTTTCAGGTACACAACATAATATCTTCAGATCTGTACATAGTGTGAAATGAACACCACAATAATCTAGTTAATGTCCAACACCACACATAGTTACAAATGTTTTTTCTTGTGATGAGGACTGTTAAGATCTACTTTCTTATCAGGGCACCTGGGTGGCTCAATCAGTTAAGGATATAACTCTGGATTTCAGCTCAGGTCATGATCTCAGGGTCATGAGATCAAGCCCCACTCTCTCCCTCTCTCTGCCCCTCCCCAACCCCTTTTCTTTAAAAAAAAAAAAAAAAAAAAGAAGAAGAAGAAAAATCTCTCTTATCAAAACTTTCAAATATACGATATAGCTTTATTAACTACAGTTGCCATGCTATACATTACAACCCCAGGACTTGTTTTATAACTGGAAGTTTGTACCTTTTGAACACCTTCAACCATTTCACCTTATCCCCCCAACCCCCAGCCTCTAATCTGGGAGTTCATTTTATTTTTTTTGTTTTTTAAGACTACACATATAAGTAAAATCACATGGTATTTGTCTTTCTCTATATGACTAATTTCACTTAGCATAATACCCTCCAGGTCTATCTAGGTTGTCTCAAATGGCAATATTTCTTTCTTTAAATGGCTGAGTAATATTCTTCTGTGTGTATGTGTGTACACACCATATTTTCTTTATCCATCAATGGACAGGCAGGTTGCTTCCATATCTTGGCTATTGTAAATAATGCTGCAATAAACACAGGGGTGCATGTATCTTTTTACAAGTTAGCATTTTCATTTCCTCAGTAAATACCCCGAAGTAGAATTGCTGGATCATAGGGTAGTTTTTTTAATTTTTTGAGTAACCTCCATCCTGTTTTCCTAGTGGCCCTACTTACCTTTCATAATAGCAGATATCACTTGATGATCACCTCTATTTATAGAGAAGCTAAGAATCGGAAATGCAGCTAAAATGTGTAATTACAGAGAAATAATCCCTGGAAAATTCAGAGATTTAGAGTAAACCCTAAATACTAAATATATACCTAAGATTTTAATTTCTCATGAAAAATTGAGATAATTCAATTTTCATGGATTTATTCAACGCATTTTGCTATTAATTACATATGGCTAATCAACCACAGGTTCACAATAATCAACTGAGGCTACTGAAAGGGATAGGCAAGTATCCAGTGTTCCATGAGTATATCAATATTTTCTGGCTCCAAAATGTCTATTTATCTAGGGCTTTGCAGCCTCTGCCAGCCATCAGCACCCACCCACAGTGGAAATCCTGTGGCCCAGGCAGTTTAAGTAATCAACCAAACATCTATGGGGCTCCTTACAGAAAGATCACAGGCAGTCAATAACATGTCTACTGTATTTTATTTCCGATACAGAATAAAACAATTTAAGCAAAATATTTTAAATAAAATGTAGCTTTCTATGAGGACTCTCTTAGTACTGAGGTAATTCTGAACATCAAGTTAAAAAGTCTCTCAGGGGTAAAGAACAAAGGCCTACTTTGCAAGAAAAAAAAAAAAAGGAAAAAAAATGCAGTAAGATCAATTTCTTCCAGATACATAAATAGGGAAACTAAAAGGAAATGCAGTAAGATCAATTTCTTCCAGATACATAAATAGGGAAACTAAAAGGAAATTAAATACTATGATTAAGCTTTACTCTCTCTGAGGATACAGGATAGGTTTTCAACTGATATACTGTCTTTTAAAGCAATTTAAAAAATCCTTTTTCCTTAAAATTGACCTTAAAAAAAGTTTATCATACTAATAACATAGGGGAAAAAAGGTTCTTATCTATAGTTCTCACTACATGGTAGATTATTCAAAGTGTACCAAAGATAAAACATAAACATGCCATATTTATCTTATTACCTTAAAACATGTATATTGTCATTGGAGCATGTTATAATGTATTCATAATCCCATCTTAAAAAAGAAACATTTAAGTAAAAATACATGCACTGAGCTTTCCCCCTTTAAAAATGAGTGTGGAGAAAATGTTTCCTTACCTGTCATAACAGTTGATATCATCCAGCCAACAACCTTGCTTCACTATTTCAATGGAACCAGAAATATTCTTCCAGGTAGCAAAACAATGTCGCCTTTTATCTTTGTCACCATAACAGGGTTCAACACCAGTTCGATTGGTTCTATCTCTTTCCCAATTAGCATTATAGAAAATACACTCCTGAGTTTCTGATCTACCAAGTATAGCACCTATAAGATAATAAAACAACAACTTAATTTAACTGTATTAGCCCTTAAGAGATTGTCTCACCGTATACCAAACTCAAACTCAGGTGTGCCTCAAACATCAGGAACTTACTGTCTTCCTAGTGTTGTAACACTGAGTTTAAGTTTCCACATCAATCTCCATACTTGAAGTATAATAATCATAGTAACAGAAAGTGACCAAATATATCTCAGATGATTTCTCTGAAAAAGGACAGTTTCACTTCATTTAAGAATGTCCCTGATGAAAAGCAGTAAAATTGTTAATTTAATTAAATCTTGACCCTGGATAGATTTTTCAATATCCTGTGTGACAAAATGGGAACTAAGCAAAAGCAGTTCTGCTGCATAATGAAGTACAATGGTTTGCCTCAAGATAAAGCCTTTGCATGACTGAGTGGGGAATTAAACCAACGATGGTTATTCAAACTTGGGTAACTGACAGACATGTTCTCAAAAATGAACCAACTAAACCTATTACTTCAAGAGAAACAAGTGACAGTATGCAATGCCAGTGATAAAATTTGATCTTTCAAGCAAAAAAGCAGGATTTTGGAAATCTGTATCACCACCATTAGCCTGACACTTTCCCAACACTTAAAAGAATTCTCTCATGAGGGCCCCTGGGTGGCTCAGTCAGTTAAGCATCTGACTCTTGATTTCGGGTCTGGTCATGATCTCAGGGTCATGAGATCAAGCCCTGCTTCAGGCTCTGCCCTGGGCATGGAGTCTGCTTAAGATTCTTTCTCCCCCTGTCCCTCTGCCCCTCCCCATCCCACTCCCACTGCAATGTGCCTGCATGAGCAGCACTCTCTCTCTTAAAAAAAAAAAAAAAGAATTCTCTCAGGAGATCAGTGGAGGTATTAATACATGTAACTTTTAAATATTGAATAAGGAAATGTGCCAATAATTAGTAGGTCTATATAATTCAGAGAACCAATATTGCCTAAATGAATACATGTGATGTTATAAAAGCATTCGTGGGTTAAAAAAATCCATTCAATGTTCAAGATAGTCCCATAGATTTTAATGTTACAGAGGACAAAAAGTTCATTAATGGTTTCAGATTCTGCACTTTAAAACTAACTTTTAAAAAACTACCTCTTGTCTTATGCGGAAAAACAAGGTGCTGGAATACCCAAAATAATTCTGAAAAAGATGTACAAAGGAGAATTCATACTACCTGTTTTTAAGACTCACTATAAAGCTTCAGCAATCAAGCTAGTGCGGTCTCAGTGAGAAGACAGACACACACTTCAATGGGACAGAACAGAGAATCCAGAAATAGACCCACATAACGTTCAGTTGACACACAGCAAAGGTGCCAACACATTTCAATAGAGAAAACACAGTTTTTTCAACAACTATGCTGGAACAATTGGACATCTTATGAACAAACAACAAGACAAACTTCAACTTGTATCTTACACCATTTACAAAAATTAACTCTAAACATATCAAAGACCTAAAAAATCTAAAAGTATAAAACTTGTATAAGAAGACATGAAAAATCTTTGTGACCCTAAATTATGAAAGATTTCTTAGAACATGAAAGACATGAACTACAAAAGAAAGAACTGGTAAGTTACGTTTCATTAAAATTAAAACTTCTCTTTGAAAGTTCAAGGGGGGAAAAAGTCACAGACTTGGAGAAAATATCTGCAAATTATGTATCTAAAAAAAATGCTGACATTCAATATATAGAAAAACCTGTCACAACTCAATAATAATAATTTTTTAAAGCCACCGAATTTCTAAAAAAAATGGGCAAAAGATTCAAAATAACATGCTTTGCTGAAGATATATGAATGGAAAACACTAACATGAAACAATTCTCAGTATCATTAATCATTAGAGAAATGCAAACTGAAATTCTGATATTGATTAAAATGGCTAAAACAAAAACAACCTCAAATGTTGATAAATATGTAGAGCAACTGGGACTTTCACACATTGGTGGCTGTAATGCAAAATGGTCCACCCACTTTGGAAAGCCAGTTTGACAGCTTCTTATAGTAAACATACACCTACCATACTACCTACCAAGCAATACCATGCCTAGGCATTTACCTAAGAAATAAAAACATATGTTCATGCAAAAATCTGTACATGAATGCTTGGAATGGTTTTATTTATAATCAACCCAAAACTGGAAACAACTCAATATCCAGTACTGCTAAATGGATAAACAAACATCCATACAATAAGAAGAAATGAACTAATGATAACTATAACAACATGGATGAATCACAAACATATTATGCTATATGTGATTCCATTTATATGATATTCTGGAAAAGGTGAAACTATGGGGACAAAAATGAGATCAGACGTTGCCAGAAGCTGGGAGTGAGGGGAGAGGGCTGATTACAAAAGGGCTTGAGAAAATTTTTCGGAGTGACCAAAATATTCTACATTGTAACTGTGGTCAGAGGTTAAATGTCTTACGGGTTAATCACACAGAATTGTTTTATCAAAAAAAACCCAACATTTTATTCTATGGAAATTATACTTCAAAAAACCTGACTAAAAAAAAAAGCAAAAAATCTACCATGTGTTGAGTTTTGGTGTAATATCAGAGAAAAACATCCACAATTATCTAAAAATACTCATTTTTTTCTAAAACTCTATCTGTGTATGACCAGATTTCCTTCATATCAAAGGAACATATCACAGCAGACTTAATGGAGGAAGAGATACAAGAATCCAGTTGTCTTCCACGAAAACAATCATTAAAGAGATCCGCAAAAATTTCATTAATTTTTTTTTTGTTTTGGAAAACATTTTTCATAAAAATGTTCTTTTGTGAACATGTAATGGATTACTGTTACTGTTAAATAAATATTTTAAAATTTTGTCAATTTCTAATGTGATAAGAATGATAGATAAAATCCCTATTTAAAAAAAAAACTTTCTGGGGTTCTACATTTTTAAAAGTCTTAAAGTTGAAACCAAAAAGCATTAGAACTTGCTGCTGCTCTGCAGTGTCCTAGGACACAGATAGGATTATAAGCTGCTAAAATCTGTGGCAGTATTAGTGCTCTGGACTTCCTCTCAACAACGGAAGAAATAATAGGAGCAGACCTATTATAAACTAAGTCTGGTAACTCCATGTTCTTTGTAGTCTATAAAAAAAAAAGGGTTGCTTCTACTATTTACCTGTATAAAAAAATACCTATTTTCTAAGTTATTCCTTTTCAGAAACTTGTTACTAAACATAATAAAAAAATTAAAAAAAAAAAAGAAACCTGTTGAAAATACCAGCAAAATAAGTTTCCTCCTTTACTAAATAACCCAAAAACAATCATGCACTGTCACATTAATATCTGAAAACAAGGTATGGCAAACTTTTTCTGTAAAGGGCCAGGCAGTAAATATTTTCGGCTTTGCAGACCACGTGGTTTCTGTCACAACTACTCCATTCTGCCATTATAGCACAAAAGCATCCACAGGACAGTATATGAATGAGCATGGTTATGTTCCAATAAAACTTTATTTACAGACACTAAAAATGGAATTTCAGGTAATTGTTACATGTCCCAAAATACTGTTCTTTTTTCAGCCATTTAAAAATGTAAAAATCATTCTTAGTTTACAGGCTATAAATCTGGCTCACAGGCTGTGTGGTCAGCTATCTCTTAAAACAATGTCCTAATTTCAACAGTCTAGCTAACCTGCCTTTTGTTTGATTTGTTTTGTTTTGTTGGAGACAGGTCCTCTGTAAATTACCATTCATGTAATTTGTGTTAAAAGCCACTATTTATTATTTTTAATTTCCAAAGAAAATGCCACTGAAGCATAGGAAAACTATAACACCATTTAAACTAAACAAAACTGACAAAAATAAAATAAAATACTGCCTAGAGCAGAAAAGCCAAATAGGTTTCATCTTTGTGTCAATTCCAATAAATTAACAGTAGCTGCCTGGAGTAGCATATTGAGAAGGATTTTGAAGTAAAAGAGTCTTGAAATTAGTATTTGCCACGTCTGTTCTAGAGAAAAGATGAACAAATGACCATTTCTTCATTTAAAAAAATACTTTCTTCACTTATAATTTAAAGGCAAACAAGATTTCAGCATGGCTTTCCAGATCTAGACTATCACTTGACTGATGTTTCCCAGAGATAGAAAGAATCCTGCTTATATGGAAAATTGTGACAATCTCATCACCCCCTCCTCAAGCTGATCCTGTAATCAGTCTCTAGCCCATCATATCTCTAACTGAACATAAAATAACATAATTATAAAAATAAAATCAAATTACACATTTTTATGTTCTTAAGCTTGCATTGTGACTTTAAAGGTGCAATTTTTTTAAAAATTGGCAAAAGTTGCTTATATGTATGAATTTTTAACAGTAACTCCCAATTTAAAATTTTCTGAAACTTAAAACTTCTACCAAAGTAATTCCAAATAGTTCATACTATTTTCAAAAGAAATAAACAGACATAAAAGGTATGTGTTCATGGTTTAGTATAATGGTTCTTAACTAATTATGTACAACAGAATCTCCTATGTTTTCTCAAATTCCTGTCTGAGTGCCATTTGGAGCCCTGGGGATGATGATGGAAGGTATATATCCAGAGAAAGTGTGTGTGTGTGTGTGTGTGTGTGTGTGCACGTACGCATGTATGTGTGTTCTTTTTCTTTTTGACAAAGACCCACTGGTGATCTAATGTTCTTCTCTAGTTAAGTACCTCTGGCTTAACAGATTGTGACCTGAATTTGGAATTTAGTTCACAAACTGTGGCCTTGAATAAATTACCAAAACTTTCATTACCCTGTTTCCACAACTGATTCAATTTTCATAATACTTCTGTAATTATTATGGATAATTCCATCATTTCATAATTCACATTTAGCCTAGTTATAGTAAATCAATAAGTCTAATCACAGAATCCAGTATCAGAGTTAATTTAGATAACAGTTCTATTTCCAAAGTACTACTTATTTTAATGACTAGTACCATTTTTCCTACCATCAAA